ATGGTGGTATTTATTTTGTGTTTGGTGTAGTATTTAATGATGAAATTGACAAATAATTATTATTGCACTATTTTTTTGTAACAAATATAAGCACGTTTTGCACATAGAAAGCGTTATGGCGGGAGACACTCAGATCACCTTGCTGTCAATTCAGTATTTCCCAAAACAGTCTTCTTTAAATAGTGCTAAGTGGTTTCATAAGTGATTTAGTAACTTTGTGAATTGCAATTTATTGTTTAGTGATACAGGTGATTATGCCACCCAAGAAACGCCCTTTCTATGGAAATTCTTCTGCCGCTAAAATGATGCAAGCACAAAGAGCATTGAAACAGAAGAAGAACGCAATCAAAGACTTCAAGCACAAGCTGCAAGACAGGCTACTCAAATACAGGAAGAGACTTTGGAACAATGTAAAGTTAGACTTCGAGCTCAAGCTGAAAGGCAGGTTACTCAAAGACAGCAAGAAACTGTTGAACAGCACAAAGCCTGAGTTCAGTCAGAATCATCAAGGCAAGCTGAATATAGACAACAAGAAACTTCTGAACAACGTCAAACCAGACTTCAAGCACAAAAATTAAGACAAATAACTTACAGAGAACCAGAAACAGAGGAGCAACATGATGTACGACTTCAGGCTCAAAGAACAAGACAAGTTCAAACACGATCTAATTTCAAATAAAGCTTTGTTTGATTAAATGCTTTTTTTATTTCTCGCATCACAGCTTTTGTTTACTTACTGAATAATTTGCTGAAAAAAATAGTGATCTATACATTTCAAATCTAAATTTTCACCGTGCAAATATAAATTAGCGATTATATATAACATTCTTGTCGCACTTTCTATAAAGTTTCGATGAGCTTTAAGATTACGATATTATGACTCCTCTTCTACAAAGATTAATTTCACGAACACTCCATTTTTCAGGATATCAGTTTGCTCTTTTCAAAATGTACAAATAAGTTAAGATTCCAGGAACATTCCACTATGTAGGCTATCGGTGCTCAAAACGTATTAAAATGACCGATTTCATGAACACTACAATATTTCAGTTTTTTCAATGTGCATTCTTCAAGACACTGATTTCACAAACACACCGGCACTACATTTTATCAGTGCATCTCAATTAAGACTTACTAATAAATTATAATTTCATGAATATTCCAGTACTACAGCTTATCATTAAATCTTCCTCAAATTCTATCAGTACATTTTGAATAAACATTAAATTTCATGTTTTAACAAATACTACAAGTCAGTAGGCTTAACATCCACATTATCTAACTGGTGTGATTAAACTATCCCTATCTCCATTTCCAAACATAAAACGAAAGTAAAATAATTCAGTGGGTGTGGTAATTAATATTTGTATTATTTCTGCTCCTCTTTTCACTCCAAAATCTGAGTGGTAAGTCTGAAGACTTAAAAAATTATAATGTTAAAACTTGGATTTCGATAATTATGGTGGGCACGACACAGATATACCATTGTGTAATTTTGTGACAAATAACAAACAAAAGACAGTCAATTAGTGGTTTAAATTTTTCACTAAACTTTCAAAGAGAAATGTTTTTACTTTAGGACATAAAACAGTAAATCAGACATGTCTGCAAATTAGAGCTATCGCTTTGAGCGGCTCATGTCACTTTACACTCTTCTGAGAAATGTTTACAAGGTAAAAAAAAAAACGTCAGGGCACATATTCGCATTTTTTTCTCTTCCGGAACTAAAGAGCGCTCTTAAGAACTGAAAATAAAAGTTTTAGTTTTGATTACTGTACTTTCTTCTTTATAAATACATTTTACCAGCGTTTACACGAAATAATTTACTACCAGGCAAGGCTTAGGAGTATTTCACTCGATAATCACCAAATTCATTTACTGAAACTAAACTTTTGGCAGTGGTTATATAAAGGCAGTTAAAACTAACGAAAAAACAACAACATAAGTTGTGTTTCTTAGCGTGCCCTAGAATGTATATAAAAGTAAGTGAAACGTAGCCCTACCATTTATAATAAACATAAGTGATAACGTAGGCCTACCATTTGTGATAAACATAAGTGATAACGTAGGCCTACTATTTGTGATACACATAACTGATGACATATGCCTACTATTTGTGATAAACATATGTTATAACTTTGGCCTACTAGTTGTAATAAACATAATTTGTACTTACGTATTTCAAACCAGAGGTGAATTACAAATTGAGAGGAATGTACAGGCTAAGAACAAATGTCAGACCTATTAATTTACAATTCTTCGCCAGCTTTTGGCGTTCAAGTGTTGAAGTCAGCTACTACAAAAAAAAAAAGGCTCAAATAAATGACCTCAGAATAAAACAAGGCCAAAAAACCGCTGGTATGTGAATATGGACTTTAGAAAATAAATTTCCAAGACTTCTTCAAAGATACATACTCAAATAAATTTGTATTTAACTGATATTTTCTTTCGAATCCCCGTCGCCGAAAATGCTCGTCCTTTCAGCCGTGGAGGCGTTATACAGTTACAGTCAATCCCACTATTCGTTGATAGTAAGGTACCCTAAGAGTTGGAGGTGGGTGGTATTGACTAGCTGCCTTCCCTTTGATCTATCACTTATAAATAAGGGACGGTTAGCGAAGATAAACCTTGAGTAGCATTGCGCGAAATTCAACAAACAAAAGCTACACAATTTGTGACCAGTTGATAAATGCACAAAAACAAACCTCTGTTTTTAACTTATGATACTGAAGACAGTTCGAAGAACGAAAACGCCTGTAGCAACGAAAAAACATTAATTTTATGTCGAAAAATAGCTTAATTTAGTTTTTTTTTGCTAATTTCGTCGACTTGTGTCTTGTAAACGAGCATTTGTTTATACTGAGATTTTTTTTTACGGTTTCCTTCTGTTAAACTGCTTATATATCATTACAGTTATTAGAGTGTCTCCCAGTATTATTATAACTATTATGATTTAATTTTAAGTTAAAAGTGATATAATTGCAGTAGAAAAAAAGTTTAACATTTTACTTTTACTTATAAAATTTACCTTTTTGATTGTTAAAGAACGACATCTTTACAAACATTCGTTCAAATACTAACCCTCTATAGAATATACATATTAAACATTCGGGAAATCTAGACGTTAATTTTATAAAACCTTCTTCTTCTTTTTTTAGGGCTTTACTACGTCAAAGTTCTGTGGCCACAAGAGGCGCTGTTCATGAAAGAGTTGAGATTTGTAACATTAAAGAGCTTTCTAAAAAGCAATCAAAAATTTGCCAGAAGAACTTGGAAATCATGAACAGCGTTAGGCTTGGCGCTGAACTCGCTATTCAAGAATGCCAATGGCAGTTTAAGTCTCGCCGTTGGAACTGTTCAACAGGAGGGAAACGGATATTCGGAAAAATCTTGAAAACAGGTAACACTAGGCTTAGTCGTGTGAAATACGAAGTTCGCAACAGAACTTATAGATTTAATCAAAGCACTTAGTGGTTGATGATTCTCGATATTTGAGGAAAGTCAAAACAACAGATACCGACATATGAACGATGATATTCATATGATTGGCTCATCGCTATGAAATCTTTTATTAGTTTTAAATAAATCTGAGAAAGTATATTCCTGTCTTTTTTTTTTTTTTACAACTTAAAGCTTTTGCAATAAGGAATATTTTTTTAAAACAGGTACGTCTTTTAATCAGTAAGTAAGCTCAGAACTATTCATATTACTGTCAACTGCATCACTTCCACAGAAGCGTTAGGCTCTCATTTATGAGGTTCCCCAGTGGCTCAGCTGTAAGTCTGAGGGCTTATAAACCTAAAAATAAGGTTTCAGTACCCACAGTAGGCATAGATAGCTCATTGTGTAACTTTGCGTTTAACAACAGATCCATTTGTAAGTTAAAACTCGCCCCTAGTGGCACAGTGGTATGTCTGCGGACTTACAACGCTAGAAACCGGGTTTCGATACCCGTGGTGGGCAGAGCACAAATAGCCCTTGTGTAGCTTTGTGCATAATTAAAAACAAACAAAAGTTAAAACTCGATTTAAATTCTATGTAATTCTTGTGAAATTAATGCACACATAGAATTAACTTGATTAAGCTCAAAATTAAGCCTAAATGCTTAGTAGTTTTTATTAGCCGCCAGACGATTTTATTTGCATAAGAAAACTGAAGAGCTTCTATTTAGCATTAAAAACAGGAACAAAGTTGAACACTAAATATCTTTCAAATAGGCCTACTCAGTAGTATTTTTTTAAGGTTAGTCTCTTTTTTTTTCTTTTTAAAAGCAAATTCCACATTATTAAAGAATTGAATATTATTAGGGTAAAAAATAATTTATAGTTTTAGCTTCATTGAAAATATGACGACTTATGCGTGCGTTGGTCATGAAAGGATATTTAAGTGTTAACGTTTTGATGATTTCTGCCTTTGTAATTTCTTTCGTTACAAGTTAAATCTCTGGCATAACAAAGTTTTAGAGAATATTTCGTATTAAATTTTGAATATTTTCATATTTTATAAGCAAGTCCATTAAACACTTTAAAGATGGTGAGGAACGTATAAGGGTTAAAGTATTTGTACTTTTAATTTTTTTAACATGTGAGCATGTAACGTTTTTAGTTTGTCAAAGGATAAAGAATGCTAGTAAAATACCAGTATTTTCTTAAACAAAAGTTTATTTTTGAACGAGTGTATTGCATAACAATAATAACTATTATCTAAAGTTTACAAAGTTGCTATAGGGATCCTACCTTTGTTTTTCTCCACCAGGGATTATAAGATTTTCATTAGTGGAGGAGAACCTTAAAATAATTTAAATATTACATATAAATATTGTTTTCACGAACGGATATTTGTTTGCACAATATATATCGACCTAATAATTTTATAACAAAATAGCTCGTTTCGTATCTGTGCTGTACTTACCACGGGTATCGAAACCCGGTTTTTAGCGTTATAAGTCCCCATACTTACAGCTGAACCACAGAGAAGCAACAAAGTTGAGTGGAAAGAATAATGTAGATATTATTTTATGCAGAACATAACAAGGTTACATACTGTGCTTCATTATTTTCTAATTAACACCGACTGTTCAGTGTTTCATTATTTTCACGTTTTCATTTTACGTTAGAAACAACGCAAGAACTGTAGTAAATAGTTGATATCCACAAATTCAAACTCGGCTAATTTATAAGCTGTAAAATAAAGAAGTTCAAATATCATACATTTAATTCAGCGCTCTATGATGGTGTGTGTGTCCACACTGGTAAACATGGCGGTTCGATGAACGAGTGCCAAAAGCGTGCTGATCTGAGGCTTATAAGATCACAGTACTTATTCAATACAAAGTAAACTACAGCATGATCAGACAAGAAATTTTCTGAATAGTCAGTAAATCTGAAAAAGTTCAGAAACTTGTAATGATGGAAAACTTACACGAAAGCCTGTTTTGAATGAAAATCAATATGTATGTATGTATACGTTGCTCTTACGTCACAATTTGCACATGCGCCTTATAAAATAAAATCAAAACTTAGTCTTGATAGGCTTAAAAACGTTTAAAGCTAAACAAAGAACTTAACTATCGAAAAATGGTAATATATACATACACACGTTTATCGCGAAGCAAAATTTAATCCCCCAAAATGGCATTTCGACCTATAAATACACAACACTAGGTTCAGACTGGCATTGCTACATTTCAGACTCAGAAAGCTGTCTTTAGCTACATGGTTTGTCTCATATATTTATTTTTTAACAAAAATGGCGACAGCAGAAATGTAAACAGTTACAAGTTTGCTCTTTTTTTATATTATCAGCTCAACAAAATTAAGAAGTCGTCAGACTTCACATTGCTCTCATAACGAGAGTAATAGAATTGTAACATCATCACATATGAAACTTTTAGTGTTTATTTGATAACCGTATCTAGAAATCTTTATTCGCTTGAGTAAGAGTAGTGGAACAACTGTGTAGTTTAGCTTGAAGCATAATAACATAACAGTTAATTAACATGTAACGTTTATAGTTGTGTGTGTGTGCTAACAGCAACAATACTATGCTAATCAATATGATAATTGAGGCTTAACAACCAGTAAGGTTATAGTAACGCTAAACAACAACAACAACAACAAAAAATCAACAGTGATCTGTGAAAAATCACAGAAGACGAAAGTTAAAATTTTGTCATTTATTGATCTAGTGTTAACTTTGAATTATAATTTTGTAACTTTGTAATAAAGTAATAACCCTTAATATAATTTGTTGATTTCGGTGCGTCAGTTTTCTGTGGGAATCCGATGCTAAAATGACACTATTTTTTACATTCTGAAACTTATCTGAGAATTAGTAGCTAACATATTCTGAAACTTGTTTAGTTTTTTTTTCAAACTTGATCGTTGTGATTTGATTATTTGACTGTAAAGAAGCCTCGTGGCTGTCCCGGTGTTACTCTCTAATGCCTGATTGATAGGGTAGATGAAAGTCAGTTCCATCTTTCTATCCCAGGTCCTTTTAAACACTTAAAAGGTTAGGACTAGTGTGGTATAAAAAAAACTGTTTATTTAACTTATAGGGACCGTTTCAAATATTACACTGAACAAACAAAAGATAGAAAGAGGATGGTTTTGACATGAGCTGAAGAAAACACGAGTTCTCAGAAGTTTTTATCTTTTTTATTTTGGATGCAGTCCATTAAATCTTATGTCTTCAGATCCATCCGATACTCCTCACAGTATTATGTATTTCTACGTTAGACACGATGTTTATAGACTCTAATGACCTGGACGGTTTCTGATTTCGCAATTTTTATTTTTCAAAAGAAGAAGAAAAAAAAAAGAAAGTGTCGACGAGGTGAATTCCAAATGTGTTTGTATAACTGGAGGATCTTTCGTCAAGTTTTGACACGTAAGGGCTTTCTTGCTAGAGAAAGCTGGAACTTCCTACATAAAGACGTACTAAAATTATAATCTCCAGTGGATTTCAAATTTGAATAAATTTTGTAAAATGCACGATTTTCAAATCAAGTGAGTTATTAGACTGTCCCTATTAGACACACACACGCATAAGCAAATTAAAAATATGTGTTATGCCCTAACTTGTTATTTATTTTTATTTTTTTTTTGCGAAGTGTTTCGGCCGTAGTGCAGTGGTTAATGTATCGGGCTGCGGACCGAGGGTTCAGGACTGGAGATGTGATGTCGCTGAACACACCACACACTTTAAGTTATGGCCGCGATATAAAATCGGATTTCGATACCTGTGGTGTGCAGAGAACATATAGTCTATTGTGTAGCTCTGCACTTAATAACAACTAAACCAACCAAAACGATATAAAAAATAAGTTAGTGCTGTTACTCAGTTCAAAAAGCCAGACAAAGCCATTACGGCGACTGGTACTCCTGGCTGATTGCCTTCTACTCTCTCAGTAGTTCCAAATTGTGGACGGCTACACCTGAATTTTAGGGGTCTCTGACCTGACCCTTTAGCCCACGTGTGCTTAATGCGCCATTCTTGTAACGTTTCACCAAACATCATAGTAAATTTTTCATCTTTTTCAGGACGGCTCTTGGAGCTCAGCTATCATAAAAATATCCACTTTAAAATGTGATTTTTGGAAACAGCTCGTGAATATTTTTTTTCCTTGCATTTCGAGCCATTTCCCTCTAATTTAACTGATAATTTAGTGTCGGTAAATCTGTACTTTGATGTTGTCTGTTTCCTGAAACAAATATATTAAATAATCTTACTGAAAACGACTTTTGGAGAAAAATATATAAAGATATATTTGGAGTTTATGTATATAAATATGCGTGTGTGTGTGTGTGTGTTTCTAGAACCAACCTACAAAATGGGAAATTTGAGTCTGTTCGCCGCGTGGATCAAACCCAGTATTATAGAGTTATAAGCCTTCGATCTTGCAATTAACTCACCAGGAGACATAAAGTGCGTTTATGATTTTTATGCAATAGTTGTTTTCCCATTCAGTTTGCATTAATTACTAGTGTCTTTTATATCAGTGCCATTTTTATTAGTGTTATTTATATCAGTGCTATTTATACCAGTGCCATTTTTATCAGTGCTATTTATATCAGTGCCATTTACATCAGTGCTATTTATATCAATGTCATTTACATCAGTGCCATTTATATCAGTCATTTACATTAGCGCCATTTGTATTATGCCATTTTTTGTCAGTGCCATTTATATCAGTGCTATTTATATCAGTATCATTTACATATGTGTCATTTGTATTAGTGCCATTTTTGTCAGTGCCATTTATATCAGTGTCATTTTTGTCAGCGCCATTTATATCAGTGCTATTTATATCAGTGTCATTTACATCAGTGCCATTTTTGTCAGTGTCATTTATATCAGTGTCATTTTTATCAGTGCCATTTATATCAGTGCTATTTATATCAATGTCATTTTTATCAGTGCCATTTATATCAGTGCTATTTATATCAGTGCCATTTTCCCCACTTTGCATGCGTGCCATTGTTGTCGAAAATCCCGAGAACTTGTATAACAAAATAAGTAATACAATATGCCCTCATAACCTTTGCAACTTTATCGGTAATCAATTAAAACATCAGTGATAGATATCTGGATATAGGTTCCCATCGAGTTTCTTTTCTTGGTCCTAAAGATGTGAAACACATCACAGCTCTCAAGTAGGCTACAGAATTTAATCAATAATTTTGAGAAACAGAAATAAATCAGCACGTTTTTATTATTAAAAAAACAAACTTCGACTTAAAATACTACTTATAAAATGGTGACTAAAATTACGTTTCTTAAACACACGTCATCGGTAAGCTCGAAGGCTTATAATGCTAAAATTCGAGGTTCGATTCCCGCGACAGGCACGTTGTGGAGGTTTGCGTTTGAGCGAAAACGCACACATATTTAATATTTCATTAAATCTTGCACAGATCAAAATGGGACAGTGAAATGTCTCATCTTAGGGCTTATTACCCTCGAAGAGGCACCACGGTTTGTAGAAAACTGAGCGAGGTTAGATACCCCCAGATTTATTTAGAAAGCCAACTTTATTTCGACCGTTAATAGCCGTTTTGTTTATATATATAGCTGTTTCATTGCAAGCTGAAACACTGTGCCCTTATATGTATGTTTGGGCTACGTTTTGTTTTTTTCGGCATGTGTTTCGATCTTTTGCGTCACATTCTTGAGTGTAAGCTTTTTGAAAGCTGCTCCACATTTCCCCCTCTCTCTTCGTGAGCTGACCCTTTACGTCAAACTCGTAACATCAACATCAAAACTAACCCTTATACCAATCATTAGTTTATAAATCTAAAAAATAAATAAAACAATGAACTGCCGATTTGGCTATCACTTGACTAGTACTTTAATGGCGGGATGAGTTAGAAATTATGGTACTTTAAATTGTGGAGGTTGTTCTAATAACAGAACACCAGTTAGTTATCTGATGAGGAAAGTGACGTACGTTGTAAAGAAAAACCGTTAACTGGACAACAACAATAGATAAAGGATATCACGTAAGTTAACAGGTGAATCACACAACAATAGATAAAGGATAGCACGTAATTAAATAAGTAAATCACACAACAATAGATAAAGGATATCACGTAATTCAATAAGTAAAACACACAACAATATGTAAAGGATATCACGTAAGTTAACAGGTAAATCACACAACAATAGATAAAGGATATCACGTAAACTAAATAAGTAAATCACACAACAATAGATAAAGAATATCACGTAAGTTAACAGGTAACTCACACAACAATAGATACAGGTTATCACGTAATTCAATAAGTAAAACACACAACAATATGTAAAGGATATCACGTAAGTTAACAGGTAAAACACACAACAATATGTAAAGGATATCACGTAAGTTAACAGGTAAAACACACAACAATGGATACAGGTTATCACGTAATTCAATAGGTAAATCACACAACAATAGATAAAGGATATCACGTAAGTTAACAGGTAAATCACACAACAATAGATAAAGGATATCACGTAATTCAATAGGTAAATCACACAACAATAGATAAAGGATATCACGTAATTCAATAGGTAAATCACACAACGATAGATAAAGGATGTCTAGTTATTTAAAGAGTATCAGTAAACTTCAACATCAAGAAAGCCATGTTCTTTATTTAAGCTTCAGGAGATGTTTCATCACTAGCAGTTTGTTTGTTTTCACGTGCCAGACCACTAAAACATCTCAAATTAATTTAAACTTTCGGAAATAAAAGTACATACATACACACGTTGTACATTTACGTGTTCGAATAATATCTTTACGTTAACACATGACCAGTCTTTTAATATGCATAATGTAAGCATGGTGATAAAGTGGATCACTGGCTAAGTTTCAAATAATGTTATAACCTCTATAAAACAAAGTGCAGTATGTTTTAATATGAATTTCCGAGTGAAAATAAAGAAGAGTGTGCAAGAATAAATCAACCACACTATATTTGCTGTATAAAATTCCGACGAGGCCTTTCAACCAATACCAGGACTCACCAGGTCGGCTAGGATACACTCACACAGTAGTGGTTGAGGTGCTACTTAAAGTCATAGGTTAAATTGTTATATGAATTTACCTTTTGTTTCTATCTTGTAGTATTGTAGCATTCATTCTGAATTTATCATTTATATGTGCAGGTTTTATATAACGCGTTTGAAAAAGAAGTTGACTCCGTTCTAGCTGCCTTTGTTCCTTTGTTGTTCTCCAAGATATCATATCTATTCCGCCTGTTGGATGTTTACTGCGACACTAAACGTTTTGCAACAACAGTGTCCTTCAATGGTAGTTCAGGTGATACCTTGAGGTTACGGCCTCACTTAAGTTTGAATGATGATGATTAGTCACGTGGGTAGTGCTAGATGCTCTGAATAAATACGATACTTCTTGTGAAGTGAGAACTTTGGATTTAGTATGATACATTGATTCGGCCTCTTTAGTTGAAGATAGAACCTCTAGTAAAGATCATTCATTTCGTGTTTCACTTTGTGTCCATTCTATTTATTGTATTCATCCTCACATCTCAGTTATTCTGGGATTACCAATATGTCATAATAGGTATTTTCCGAATCTCCTGTTATTAAGTGAACCTGTCCCATTGTTCTAAGATATACTACAGAGTGGACAGGCCTAAAATACACCACAGAGTGGACAGGTCTAAAGTACACCACAGAGTGGACAGGTCTAAAGTACACCGCAGAGTGGACAGGTCTAAGATATACCACAGAGTGGACAGGTCTAAAGTACACCACAGAGTGGACAGGTCTAAGATACACCACAGAGTGGACAGGTCTAAAGTACACCACAGAGTGGACAGGTCTAAGATATACCACAGAATGGACAGGTCTAAGAAATACCGCAGAGTGGACAGGTCTAAGATATACCACAGAGTGGACAGGTCTAAAGTACACCACAGAGTGGACAGGTCTAAGATATACCACAGAGTGGACAGGTCTAAGATATACTACAGAGTGGACAGGTCTAAGATACACCACAGAGTGGACAGGAAGGAGAAACTTCTGGTGTCATGACTACAGGATATAGATACACTCTGTGGAGTTTACTGAATATGTTGAAGTATGTATAACTTTTTTATTTGGATCCACAACTAGAATGACTTATGACCAAGAGAGAGAATTGAAGGGAGATAGTTGTCAGAGAGAATTATTAGGTCTAGGACAACTAGAATGACTTATGACCAAGAGAGAGAGGGAGTCGATCATTGAAGGGAGATAGTTGTCAGAGAGAATTATTAGGTCTAGGACAACTAGAATGACTTATGACCAAGAGAGAGAGGGAGTCGATCATTGAAGGGAGATAGTTGTCAGAGAGAATTATTAGGTCTAGAAGAAAGCTTCTTTTGAAGTTAAGCACAAAGCTACACAATGGGCTATCTGCACTCTGCCCACCACGGGTATCGAAACCCGGTTTCTAGCATTGTAAGTCCGAAGACTTACCGCTGTGCCACTGGGGGGGCGTATTTATAAGTATCTAAATTGTGATTTATATTAAGGTTTAAGAACTATAACTATAAAAGTTTAATGACGTCTGATGAGGAGGAGGTACCCCCTCTTTTTTAAAATCAATATTTAAAATCTGTACAAATATATTTTTAATTTTACGTATTTATATTTTATAGAATGCGTGATCGTCATGCTGAGTTTTTTTTTATTATTATTATTGTATGTTATGGAAATTTTATGAGTAAGTTTGGGTGCAACTTGACAGTGAGTTATTTTTTTTACGAAGGGCGGGTTTTTAAATTATCTACTTGCTCATCACAGAATAGGAAGAAAAAAAACAGACTCTAACATAAATATAGTGGTTTCTTCCCAACAGCCACGAGGGAGGCTGCCTTTGTCCATTCGATAACCGCGGCCGCTGTAGCGCACGTTGTCACCAGGGCCTGCAGTAGTGGCCAGCTTCAACGTTGTGGCTGCGACAGAACCGTACGAGTGAAGCCTTCTCAGGGCTTCGAGTGGTCTGGCTGTTCTGACAACATCGCCTTCGGGACGGCTTTTTCCAAGTCTTTTGTCGATGCACGAGACCTGAGACGGGCGAGAAAAAAATCCAAGCCACGTGCCTTAATGAACCTGCACAACAACGAAGCGGGAAGAAAGGTATTTTCCTGTTTTATTATTATTATCGTGATTATTATGTACTTGCTTTTCTTTACATCAGACGACAGTGTTTTGCCATTAAGCGAGTAGCTTTTTGTTTCAATGCCAAGAGAACCTTACGATGGGATTATTACAACACCTTAGTCACTCCCTCCCTCGAGCTACATCACCGACACCCAACCGTCTTTCATTAGGCCTACGGTGACAGCAAGTTGTCTCAGTTCTGTCATTAATTAAACACGCGTTTAGAACGTTATAATAAAACATTGTGTGTGTAACTGCGACCTTGGGTTTCTTTGTCTTCAAAATTGTCCTAATGCAGAGTTTAATATGGGAGTTGAAGGAAGAGTTGTTCCATACTGCGTTTACAGACAAAAAAATAACGCCCTACCCAGCGTTTGCTGATTTACTTGATGTGGATGGGAGTCGTATCAAGACAATCCGTACTCTGCACATACACGTTTGATAATAACTTACTACGTACAAATGTGTCACATGTACATAACGACTTACGTACAGGTGTGACACATATACGTAGTAACTTGTACATCCAAGTGTGACACAATGCGCTTGATAATGACTTGCGTGCAAGTGTGATACACTGGATTTTGTACCGCAACACTTGTGTTCGTTTCTTGACTGGCCAGTTGTTATACTTATAACGCTAATATTCGGGGTTCGATCCATGCACTGGCCAGTTGTTATACTTATCACGCTAATATTCGGGGTTCGATCCATGCACTGGCCAGTTGTTATACTTATAACGCTAATATTCGGGGTTCGATCCATGCACTGGCCAGTTGTTATACTTATAACGCTAATATTCGTGGTTCGATCCATGCACTGGGCACAGTTAGCGCATGAAGTCTACTGTGTAGTTTTTTGCTAAACAACAAACAGTCGTTTGTGTTTGTGTGACATTCTTCAGACTGCCATAACCAGTGTCACTACTTTAGTAGTGATTTTAACAAGATCTTAATACCGGCGGTAAACAACAATAAAGTCAGCCGGTATTGTTACTTAATAATAATTGGAATTTAAAACGTTTCGACCAACCGAGGTTTTGTGGAAACATTCCCAGCCGAGCTAATGCTGTTTGACATTGAGCGAGAAGTTTGTAGCTGAGATGCTGTTATGTTTGTTGTTAAGCGCAAACCTACACATTGGGCTGTCTGTTGTGCTGTTCCCACCACGGGTATCGAAACTCGAGTTTTTACGTTATAAGCCCTCAGACTTGCCGCTGAACTATCGGGGTGGGGCGACGATTTTGTGTTTCTCTTAGTGGGGAACCCGTAAAGAGGGCTAGTAAAGAAAGATTTGTTAATGATCGTCAGTTTTATTGTACTGTAGATCGCTCCTCTCGACATATGCTGTGATATACCATAACGATGGGTATTCAGTAATATTATTGGATCGTAATTATGTTGAAAAGAAAACCAGTTGATATTATCGTGTGCAAAATATAATAATTATTTACGAGCAATTGATAAAAATTTGTCTACTGTCAGAAGCAAGCGAAACGTATGAGCCCCCCCCCCCCTCCGAACTTTTTTCATTCCACTACTGCCCTAAACGATTCTTACACGGACATCATCAGTAACCACTAACGGCCAGTAGATCTTTTGCTTGTTTCCCTCGGCGGCTATTTACACGTACTTTACGTTCCCTCTCCCGTTGCTTCTCGGTATCATCGCTCATTGGCCCAGCTGTGCGTGATGTCAGCGTCACCCGCCAGGAGGCCAATGATCGTATCTCGTAAATCCTTACAAGACAAAGTGAGAGCGCATACAAAGCATCCCCCATTTCGGTAGGAGGTCTACGTGACTGAAGTACCAATTGAAGGGGCATTTCATTTGAAACTCCCGGATCTGATAAAACAACTGCCCCCTCCACCTTGTTCGTACATTACTAGTGGGCCACGTGGTTCTCGAGAAGGAACGTTTCAATACGTCAGCATGGTGATGGTGTCTGTATCAAGGGATTTTAGTGAAAATAGCTAGAGTTGTTACAATTGAAGGTATTAATTTAGTTGAGAGTTAGCTATGTACCCTCGTGTAATCTTTTATCAAACAGAACGATTCCTTTATACCGACTTAATCCTCTAGATAATTGTTAGTGCGTCAAAGATGTACAGAAGAGTCGAAAACTTCAGATTATGAGGTTTTAAGATTACCAGAAAGTTTCATTACTATTAACGTAACACAGTCTAAAATGTTGCCTTTGTTGAGATACCACGTTATCAGAAGTGTCTATAACACAGTCTAAAATGTTGCCTTTGTTGAGATACCACGTTATCAGAAGTGTCTATAACACAGTCTAAAATGTTGCCTTTGTTGAGAATACCACGTTATCAGAAGTGTCTATAACACGGTATAAAATGTTGCCTTTGTTGAGAAACCACGTTATCAAAAGTGTCTATAACACAGTCTAAAATGTTGCCTTTGTTGAGATACCACGTTATCAGAAGTGTGTAGAGAAATACTATTAACGTAACACAGTCTAAAATGTTGCCTTTGTTGAGATACCACGTTATCAGAAGTGTCTATAACACAGTCTAAAATGTTTCCTTTGCTGAGATACCATGTTATCAGAAGTGTCCATAACACAGTCTAAAATGTTGCCTTTGTAGAGATACCACGTTATCAGAAGTGTCTATAACACAGTCTAAAATGTTGCCTTTGTTGAGATACCACGTTATCAGAAGTGTCTATAACACAGTCTAAAATGTTGCCTTTGTTGAGATACCACGTTATCAGAAGTGTCTATAACACGGTCTAAAATGTTGCCTTTGTGGAGATACCACATTATTAGAAGTGTCTAGAGACAAGGTAATAGTGCTTATACATCATAACGTATTATTTACTATTGAACAAGAACCTACATTGACAACTTACCTCAGGATAAACTCCTTGTATATGTTGTTATAATTACAAGAATTCATTTAATCATTATCCCTCGTTTCGTACAATACATCGGGCTACAGATAAAAAATATGGAATGAACACTTGTTAATTTACGAATCAAGCAAACGAACTCAATGTTCATGATATCTGATGAATGATACTAACATATTGGCTCTATTTATTATTATAAGAAACCAGCTTCCGAAATGTATAATTAATTAAAAATAACGGTCAGATGAACGAATTCTAAGCTAATAGTGTGGGAAATGGTTGAGTTAGAAAATAAGTATCACAATGACCTTTGATTAAGAAGTTAACACACAATAGTTGTGATGGTTTTCAAACGAAATCCAAAATTCGAGAGCTTTCGAATAATTCACTGTTCATCTTCAGAAGAAGAAGAATTCACTGTTCATCTTCAGAAGAATAATAATTCACTGTTCATCTTCAGAAGAAGAATTCACTGTTCATCTTCAGAAGAAGAAGAATTCATTGTTCATCTTCAGAAGAAGAAGAATTCATTGTTCATCTTCAGAAGAATAATAATTCACTGTTCATCTTCAGAAGAAGAAGAATTCACTGTTCATCTTCAGAAGAAGAAGAATTCATTGTTCATCTTCAGAAGAAGAAGAATTCACTGTTCATCTTCAGAAGAAGAAAAATTCACTGTTCATCTTCAGAAGAAGAAGAATTCACTGTTCATCTTCAGAAGAAGAAAAATTCACTGTTCATCTTCAGAAGAAGAAGAATTCATTGTTCATCTTCAGAAGAAGAATTCACTGTTCATCTTCAAAAGAATAATAATTTATTGTTCATCTTCAGAGAATAATAATTCACTGTTCATCTTAAGAAGAAGAATAATTCACTGTTCATCTTCAGAAGAAGAATAATTCACTGTTCATTTTCAGAATAATAATAATTCGTTATTCATCTTCAGAAGAAGAATAATTCGTTGTTCATCTTCAGAAGAAGAAGAATTCACTGTTTATCTTCGGAAGAAGAAGAATTCACTGTTCATTTTCAGAAGAAGAAGAATTCACTGTTCATCTTCAGAAGAAGAATAATTCACTGTTCATTTTCAGAATAATAATAATTCGTTGTTCATCTTCAGAAGAGGAATAATTCGTTGTTCATCTTCAGAAGAAGAAGAATTCACTGTTCATTTTCAGAATAATAATAATTCGTTGTTCATCTTCAGAAGAGGAATAATTCGTTGTTCATCTTCAGAAGAAGAAGAATTCGTTGTTCATCTTCAGAAGAAGAAGAATTCACTGTTCATCTTCGGAAGAAGAATAATTCACTGTTTATCTTCGGAAGAAGAAGAATTCACTATTCATCTTCAGAAGAAGAACAGTGAACTATTCGAAAGCGCTCGAGTTTTGGGTCTCGTTTGAAAACCACAATGAACTTTGAAAACTGCCAGAAATAATAAAGAACGCTTATGTTCTATGGTCTAAAAGACTGTCTTTATCGAAACCCTTCCGGAAATGGCAGGTATATTTTAATTCATGGACGAATACAAAGATTTTTTTACAGCTAGACATCTGCAAGTCTGACATCAGTTAACCGCGTCAAACACTGCTTTCAAATAGAAGACACCTCCCTGATTGTTATCACTAACCCTGTAGGTGGCGTGTTTCCTTGTCATTCGACTTGTAAAACACTCGCCCTGACATGAGCGGCGGCCCTTGGGGTTAACCTCATGAGAGGGTAATAGAACCACTTAAAAAAGTAAGAAACGCTCTTAGTTAGTGAACAACAATTTATATTTGATTCTGGTCTCGTAGCAACTCCCAGCCTCAAGGATCGAATAATAATAATAATAATAAAAGTACCCCTAATAGCGTGCACAGCGCTTTGTGGTCCTTGACTTAACATTTCTGAGGAGGGCGGTCGAACATTTGTACTTTTAGATGTATGTGTTTGTGTTTTTGGAATATAATTATTTATTAAGCCCAAAGATGAAAGTTCTTTGTAATGCCTTTAAGCTTTAAGACTGAGTAAAATTTAAAGATCCAATTTTATGGTACCAAGAAAGTGATACCCCCCCCCTTTTTTTTTTGTTACGTGGACTTCCTTGCATCTCGGGTATAAACT